AAAAAAATTCAACACACAAATACACAAATAAAATATGACAAAAAAATGTTAAAAAAATTAAACGAACCATGAAAAATTTTTTAAAATTTAAATAAAAAATAAGTTCAAAAAAATTACGATCAATCAGAATTATCACCTAAATAAACACAAAAAAAAAAATCAAAAAAAAATAATTAAAAAAAGTTGATATATAATTATTAATTATGTATAAAAGAAAAAAAAAAAACAAATAAAAAAGTAAAAAATTAAAAAAAAAATACAAAATTATTTTGTAAAATAAGAAAATTTTTCTCTTTTTATTTTCGAATTTTTTAATGAAGAAAAAATAAAAAAAAATATAAAACAACTCACACTGAGGCCTGTCATCATTTTTTCCATTATCACTCAGTTTTTAGTGACCCAATCATTCATTTTTGATGTCATAATTAAAAAATGAACTGCCAAAAATAAGTCGTTTCCTAACTATCAAAATATCAAAAATTTGGCGATCATGTTAATCACTTTATTCGCTTGACTTTGTAAATGACAATCATCTGCAATTATTAAGCAATTATCGTAATTGACACTTTAAAAAAATGTTTTCAATAAAGCGTGAAATTGAATATTTCAAAATTAAAATGATTTTTTCGTTATCATTCATATTTTGTCACATAAAAATTACTTATGCCTTAAGTAATTTTTATATTACTAAAGAAATTCAAAAAAGAAAAACTTAAATAATAATCACTTGCGTTGGCAACGTAAATTTGAATTCATGACGCTTATGATATTGGAATCGACGTTACATTGGATTTCATGATTAAAGTTAGTTGAACGAATTTGTTATATGTAATGGAAAACGGCTATAATTGCCATCGTGTATGATAATTTTGTATGAAAAAAATTTCAGTGCCATCACTGAAAAAAAATTATTGATACAGGCATACAGCTGTTTCATTCACTAATTTTCTTTTTCTAGTGAACAGAGGTTTTTGTCACTCACTTTTTTTTGACAACGATGACAGGCACTACTTCGGAGTCAACACAACACAATAATTGAGGTCGCCTGTTTTTTTCTTCTATTGTATTTAATTTAAAATAAACGTGTTAATGCATGTAGAAAAAAAAACAAAAATAATGAAACGATTTAATAAACAAAAAACTTACTAATAAATGGCAATACTGTAAATTAAATATTAGTTTTTTTCTCAAATTACAAAAACAACAACACGATAAATAAGAGAACAAAAAAAAAATACTAAAAAAATATAGAAACAAGAAAGTAAAACAATAATTTCTTTTATAATGTATACATAAAATCAAAAAAAAAAAAAACATGTATAAAAAAATTTTAAAATAGCAAATAAAATTGAAAAAACACGCAGAAACAAAAGAATTCCTGTTTAAATCAAGTTCATAATGGTAATTTTAACAAAAAATACAAAAAAAAAATAAATTCTATAACTTTAAAATTGCATTTTTATGGTATTAATATACAATTCAGCTTATGCATTATAATTGCTGAATAGTATAAAAATACATTAATACTGTGAATTTGAAGTCACAGTTAAATTATTACAATAAAATAATAACATGTGTGCATTTAAATAAGAGCCAAATCATAAAAAAAAAAAAAACAAAATAAAATCATTAAACATCATCATTTCAAATATCATTAATTTTACAAAGCAAATTTTTCAAAATAAAACTTGAACACATGTCGAAAATACAATTGTGTTACAACAATTTTTATAAAATATGAAAGAGATATGCCCTAATTTGGAATGATAGGAATCACTTAATTGAGGAATTCAAGAATGCATCCATGCCACTTAAGATAACGCACTATTTAATATAATCATCATTCATATTAGCTGAGTTGTAAATTATCATAAGTGTATTGATGTTTGTTTGAATTTATTCATAATTATTTCGAAAAACTAGTGATATATATAACCCTTGACTTCCAAAATGCAATAGTACACTATTAATGTACAATTCAGCAATTCACACTTATAAGCTGAATTGGGTATTAATTCCGTATTAATGTATTTCGGAAAACAAGAAATTCAACAATATACCTTCCAGATAAAAATTGCAATAATATGGTATTTATGCACAATTCAGCTTATAAATTTGATTTGCTGAATTGTGTATCAATTAATATTTTGAATTCACTAGGTATGGCAAAAAATGAAATTTATTGTTATAAAAATAAAAAATAAAACAAGAATTTGATTATGCGGTTATAGTCAAAATTTTTTTTTAAATTTTACAATACAAATTAAATTGCATTTATTGTATAAATCAAATACGTTCATTTTGGTTGATAAAAATTTTGAGCTTAAGACCACACGAAGGGCATGATTAATTTTTAAGTGACGAATATAAAAACAAAAAGAAACCATATAAAATATAGAATAACAATCTAATTAAAAAATCATTTATTTTATACTGCCTTGAATTTGAATATGTAAAAAATGTAAGAATGAAATTTTTTAAAAACATACACACACAATGCAATAAACTATTATTTACATATAAATATACTATGGTATAATATTATAATTTTTTCTATAAAATCAAAAGAGAACACAAAAATAAAGCTCTTAATATGAAATAACAAAATAGAGTACATTTAATAATTATATAAAATGTGTAAAAAATTGTAACAAAACAGAAAAAATAATTATCGCTGATTTCATTATTTTGTTTATACTGTATTGCTACATAATTCAGCAATTCACACTCATAAGCTGAATTGTGATTTAAAAGCGTATTATAGCAATTTTGAAGTCAGGGATATATTATTTTATATACAATAACAACATAAGTTTAACAGGAAAGCTTTTCTTAGAACATTCTTATAGAGCAGTTTTATTATGCATAATTTTATAAAATTGGAACACGTTATAATCAAGAAAATTTTATGCTAAATGGATTCAAGTGAATTCTTTTAGCATTCATAATGAAAATAATTAATTATTTTTTATTTACAGTAATTAAAATATGCTATAACATCAAAATTGCAGTAATTTTGTATTGTTACATAATTCAGCAATTAAAATTCATAAGTTGAATTGTTATCGAATTACTGTAATTTATTGAAACCAGAGACATTTTACTATACGAATCCCTGAGTTCGAGAATTAATAAATTTTTTGGTAACAAGGTATTAAAAAAACAATTCAGCTTATTAGTAATAATTGCTGAATCGTGCAGCAACACTTTATTTTCTGAAATTTCAAACTAAAACTTTTAACTGAACGTATTTCTTATTATAAAATATATTCTGAGAGAATTCCTGTTAAACAAATAATGGGATTCGTAAAAAATTATAAATGAAACTTAAAAAAAAAAACAAAATGAAAATATCTGAATCAGAAAAAAAAATAATAAATTAAAACATTTTATATAATTAAAAATATTAAATATAAAAAATTAAACAGAGAAAAAATATAGCAATAAGTAAATAATAACGGTATATAATTATAGAAATGAAAAACAAAAAGAGAAAAAATCAAACAAATAAATTTAAAAAAAAAGCTATTTTAAAAATATAAATAAGAGAAAAAAGAGAGAAAAATCTAGAGAAATAGGTCACACCGGAAGGCAAACAAAAATAAAACAAGCAAATAAGTATGGCATTAACTTAATTTTTTTTTTCAAATTATAAACGGAACAAAAAAAAAATAGAAAAACTGTAAAAAATAAACAAAAAAAAAAAAACAAACAAAAAATTGAATGTAATTTTTATTTGACAATCCAATTGAATCATACCCTTTTCAGTCATACTTATATCCTTTTCGAGAATGTGAAAAAAATCTGTAATTGTACGGAGTTCACCAGCTTGAATATCTTGAATTTCAGATTTTAAAGTCCGTCTGTAACTGCTGGTGCTTTCTACGTCTTAGTTCGAAATAAGAACGGCTAATGTTCTTCTGTTGGCCTACCAATTCGCCACAAAATCGTATCGCAAAAAAATTTAAACTGGCAGCATTTTATAAAATTTTTTGTTTTTGACATTTCTGACAGTTTTTTAAAGTAAACATTTAAATGATCTCTGAATGTACTAATTTAAAAAAACAAAATTGGATTGCAAAAGATTTTTGGCAGAAGGTGATTACCAATATAATGGAGGTTAAGATTTAAATATTGCTCTTATACTCAGTAAATCGTGAGAACCGTGAAAAGGGAGGCGTAACAAATTTTGAATAATTCATAAATTTTACCATTATCGTAAACTGAGATGGTTTTGTACTTTTGTTTGACACATAATTATAATCGATGTTTACAAAAATTTTGTTGATTACACTAAATTTGAAATGTTAAAGTAGCATTGTGTTACACATATAGTTGTCAAAATTTTATATGCGAAAACCCTTTAGCGAAAGTATTACTATCGGCCACTAGACAATAATCTATATCTTTTAAATATTTATAAATCATTTATAAATCAAGTAAAATTTAATTCACCAAAAATATTGAACAAAACGACTAAAAATGACAGGAATGCTTTCATTTTTTCCCTTCAACGGCATAAATGTGGTACCAGTAAAAATGTATTCAGCATTGTAGTATTAATTGTAGTTAACTACAGTCTACAAAAAAAATTGTAAAGAAATAATAAAAAGGTTTGTGTACATGCTAAATTTACTAATAAATATTTTAAAAATCAGTGCTTCATAAACTTTACATTTAATATGTCAAAAATAGAAAAAAGCAAAAATATGAAGTAAGAAAATAACGAAAAAAAAATCCGCAATGATTACGGTACTAAAAAATTAGTATGTAATGTGTACATTAAAATTTTATACGTGGAAGTATATGTACATAAACAATATGTTTATTAGTATGTATGTAATTTAAATTCCGTTATTTAATTATGATATCGTAAAAATGTTTTTTTTTTTTGCTTATTTTTTTTTTTTTTGAAATGCAATAATATTTTTTTTTATTATATAAAAAATACACAACATTTCAATTTGACTTTTAGTTATTGTTAAATATTCGAACTGATTGGAAGTTTATTTATGAGTGCGGATAGAATTGTGAGTTAATAAGCGAAAGAAGAAAAGGAAATTTATTAATAAAAGAGAAAAGTGGTACGACAAAACGAGAAAAGAAAAAAAAAAAGAGAAAAACAAGAAGTAAAACAAAAGCAATTGTTTGTGGTTTTTTTTTTTTTTGTAAATTTGAAATTATTGTGAATATTTCTTGTGTTGTGATGCAAAGTGGTTGTTAATCAAAAATTTTTTACTCATTTTTTGTGTTTTTTTTTTATACTTTTATTTATTTTTTTTGATATTTTCTCTTAAAGAGTTTTATTTTATTCCTCATTAACTTTTTCTACTGTTTTGTTGTTTTTTTCTTGTTATACACTTGGATGGTTTGAAAATCATCATCACTGCTGCTGACTGACCGTGAAAATTTATTTATTTAATTTTTTTTTTGTATTCAAAGAACAATATTTCTTGTAAAAGAAGCGGGCGGCGCGGACCGGTGACTGTTTCAATTAAAAATATGAAAATCTATTAAAAAAAAAAGAGTAAAATAAGAAATTAAATTTTATATTTAATATTTTTGTTTTTGTATTAAAAGAATAAAATAAAAATAAAGAATTATATTTAAATATTAAAAAAAAGTGAAAGAGATAATAAAAATAAAACAAAGCATTTATTTTAATTAATTTTTTTGTAAGAATACAAAAAAAAAATATATTTTTTATAGGCCAGATTTTTTCTTAAAAAGAAAAGCAACAAAAATTTAAAATAATGGATCCAATAAGGTAAGAATATGAAATTTTTATATGAAATTTTTTATATAATTTGTAGGGTATGCAGAAAATTACTACTATATTTGTTTAATAATATAATTGGATTGTTTATTTTGAAAGTGACCTGAGCCCATTCGAAAATTGACTTAAGTCAATGGTACCAGAGCAATGGTAGTTATGCCGAATTCTGAGTTACTTCAAACCCTACAATGGAGAAATATTTCATTTCTAATTGAAATGTGGACTTAGGGAATTTTTTATAAATAAACCATATCCATATTTAGTTTTATACATATTTTATGAATAACTCGATATGTATTGTATGTCAACTTTAATAGAATATTATTTTGGGTCTAAACGGAGAGTCTAGTATACGTTTTCCCTAAATTCCTGTACTTATTCTAAATTTTTATAAAATTGCCTTGAATTTCAAAAAAATTGATCTTAATTTCTGGTCCCTAGAGACCTATTACATTTCGTACTTTGGGAGAAATATGTAACTAAGTGGGAAAAATGTCTTTTAGCCTTGTGTGGTGACCAAATAAACAAAAAAAATGTAATTAAATTTAATTTTTTTAATTTATGAGTTCATTGTTGAGCTTTTTTTAATTTTTTAGCACTTTACTAATTTTGCTGTCTCTATATATACGTATTAAATTTTGATGAACTCGGGGGTATTTTATACGTTCTTAATGTAGAAAATATTATAATTATAGAAAATTATAATTTAATGATTTGGTCACTTTTTACTCCCGAGGGACTCTCCAGTTCTTGTTTATTATTATTATTACTTTTGTTATATAATTATATTTTATATATACATTTATATATATCAATGTAAATTTTATATAAAAATTAAGTATTTTGAATGTAATTTTTGAGTATTTTTGGAAAATCCCTCTACACATGTAGAGGGATTTTTAGTTTTTTTTTTACCTTTTGTTATATATTTTGTACTATTAACAGTTTAAGTATATATACTTCTTATATACCTTGAAAAAATACTTTATATATATTATAATCCCATATAATATATAGCGATTTATTTTCGTTGTAGAGCCTATACATTTATTTATAAACTTTGTATTATGTTTTAATATATAAGTATATGTATATATACCATATGTATATACTAGTATATAATAATAATTTAGTATATAATATAATATTCTCTCTGTTGTACGGAAAATTTTTGTTGTTTTTTGTATATATTAAATGTTTATAATAGTAGGTCGTTTATAAGTCTTAATATACTTGTTGGTATATAGCCTGTATACTTATATATATATATATGGTATATAACTGTACTTTAATAATATCAGCTGAGTTTGAGAAAGTTTTTAAATAAAATCTTGTTTTATATATAAATATATGTAGTTTTTTTTTTAATCTTTAAATATATACATTATATACACCTATTTTATATTGCTATACATGCTCATTTAAGAAAAAAAACCATAATGTATCTCTAACTATAATGGTATAATGGTATATACGATATAATGGGGAGCGCTAAATTATAATATATTATGGTGTATGACAAAAAACAAAAATCTGATGAAGAAAAGAAATGAAAATAAAATTCATTTTTATATAGTTATATAGATATATGTAGATATATATACATAAAAATATGCGTATATATATATATATATATATATATATATATATATTATAAATTTTTTTTTGGTGCATATTGTAGATAAACTTACCTAGCTAAAGCTATCTATATGTAAAATAAAATTTATACAAAATTTTGAGTACCTATATGAGATGAAAGTAAGTCAATGTCAATTATGTTATGCATATACATATATGCATGTATGTATATACATATTTAGCATCATTAATAATATATTTACATGTACAGCATATTAATATTGTAGGCACATGTATGTATCTATCTACATATGTCAAAATATAATAATAATTAATATTAAATTGAGAATTCCCTCTCTTATTAATTTTATTATTATTAAGAAAACACAAATAAGAAAATTGGAGAGACAAAAACTGAGAGAAAAATTTAATTATTAATTTTTATCAAAATTACAATCTATGTCAATCAACTATGTTTATCATTTAATTTAATTTTTAAGAAATTATAAAAATTGACAAAGATTCTTTGACATAAATATATGCATATAGATTTTGACAGATAAGAAATTGACAGAGAGAATTGACAGAGAATTTCAATAAATAAATAAATGAATTTAATTAAAATCAAATAAAATCAAAATTTAATATTTGAGTTACTCGTGTATGAATGAATAATGTGACAACTCCGCTCCGTCTATATAAAGCTACGAAGCAGAAGTGTCTGAAATATTAAACTTATACGAGATATATGTATGTACATATATGAATTTGTTTGATCAGTGTCGAATTCTGAGTTGATTTATGTAAGTTATATGTATTTTTTTGGTACGTTGAAAACTAGATGATCTACGGCAATCAAATTTTAACAAATAACTTATAAGCGTAAGGATTATATACGGAAATTTGGGGTCCGATCGAAATACCGATTCGAATAGCTGAAGAATATATAACAAATATCGAAAGTACCTTAGTCATAATTATAAAATATGTGATTGAATTTGATTATGGTTGAAATTTTGTAAATTTTCAGTGTTCCTATAAATATTTTACTGATTTGAACGAGATTTTAGGGAATTTTTTTTTTTTATATCAGCATTTAAATGGTACTGCTTTAGTAATGAATATAAGACTGGTAAGATAACAGGTGCTGTCTTAAGTTTCTATAAAAAAATTAATATCGTATTTGATTAGACTGAATGGCATATTTCGCATGTATTGTTCTCTTCTCTTTTTAAAAATTCATAGAGCACAAATAAATTTTAACCATAAAAAAGGATTGAATTTCATTAATCATTTTTCTTACCATATGTTCTCTCTTTCTTTCTTCGTTGTTGTTACAAAATATCACATATGGCTTGTTCTTATGCAAATAAGCATATAGAGAAGAGAATATATACGAAAAGAACCCAGAAGGACGAATTTTAATTCTCATTTTTCACTCCTCAGTCCTCAGTCCTCACTTATATAAAAAATATTATCAAAGGTGAAAATGGTAAAAAATTTCATTTTTTTTTAAATTAAAAAAAGAAAAGTAAAAGTTTAATAACCTTTAAAATCGATTTTAGGACCTAAAAGTGAATATACCTAAAATATCCTTTGTAAAATTTAAAAGGCAAACATTTTATTATAATTTGTGTTCTCCCAGAGTTGTTTAAAAGTTTTTTTTAACATTTTCCATTGAAATTTCTCTTTTTTTTTTTAAGTTTGAGTATAAAAGGGAAATGAATAATTTCGGTTGTTAGCCACAACAATGAAAATTTAAAATAATGGTGATTTTCTTTTTGGATATTAATAGAATTTTGTTGCGGGATTTGTTGAAATTCATTAAAAATTTTTCAATTATTAGAAATTTATACAAAAAGGTTCAAGGATTGTGTGATTGTTGCGTACGAGTTCGATATCAAAATTATGAATAAAGTTTGAGTAAAATTTTAGTTTGTTGTAAGTAGCAATGTACTTGAGTTCAATTGAAGTAGTTCCTTTAGTATTGTATGGAGAAAATTTTTAATTTTTCTGGAAAAATCCATGCGGTTCGCAGGGTAAATTCTTCTGATTTCCCATATTTGTAAAATACTACGCGTATTTATTTCTCACGATATTGAAATCTCCAGGTTAACACCATTAAAATTCTAATCTTAACTATGTATGTGGTGAAAACTTGAAATAAAAACAAATATGTTCCACAATATAATTTCCACAACTCTCCAAATATCCCATTCCAATATATATAGGGTGCTTCTATTATTATTGTCTCCTTAAAATTTTTGTTTTCTAACTATATAGCGTGCAATTTTATTGATTTACCTAAAAAAAAAATTATTATACCGTTTCGTATAAAATTATGAGCACCTTATAAAAATAATTTGCATAATAATATGAATTACCGTGTTAGTTAGAAATTACCCACATATATACTTAGTTTAACGGGGGTATATTACATTTACTTCATGTATATTGTATAATAAAGCGAGAACCTTTAGTCTAGTTGTTATTTTATATAAAAAATATGATGGGTAAGGTCATGATTAAAGTAAAAAATTTATCGATTCGACATATCGTTGATTATGGAAACCTCTACAAAATGCATTTTAAAGTTGGTATTCTTTTGGGGTAAAATAAATTGAATAATTTTCATGTGACATGTAAATTGAAGATTGTGAATGTGAATAGAAATCAAAAATTTTATTTTCGCAAAATTTTTTAAATCTGAACTGAGTTAATGAAAAAAAAAATGAATTGAATAAGAGGAAATGTGCCAAATTTTAGTTTGGTAAATTTGTAAATTTTTATATGAAATTTTGAGTTTTCTTTATAATTTTTGAGGTTATAGCTAATATATTGTAAAATATTTGTGTAGCAGACCTTTCAACAAAATCAAGGATTTTGTTAGAAATTTTTTGATATTTTAATAAAAAGGCATTTAATTTGTACAAAGCACCATAAATTTATTATACAAAATATCGGCCCAAACCAAAAAACTACTGTGCGTTATGTTACATCAACTAAAATGAGTCTTTGTCTTGAAACGGTATAACAGTTTTAAGATTGAACTTAAATTACTATCAGCGTTCCCACTTGGATACAATTGTATCCATTTGGATACATTTTTGCTTTAAATTTGAACTTGGATACAAAGATACTCAAGTCTGCCGAAATTGGCTACATTTTAAAATTTTGCTGAAATATGGATACATTTTTTTTCAAACACTAAATAAATATTACAAAACAGTTGAAATGCTGCTAATATAAAATCGCGAAGTTGCTTTATCTTCAATAAATGTTATTTGCTGACTATTCTAAGCACGTTTCCGAATTTTTTACAAGAAAGTAAAAAAGATGCTTTATTAACTGCCTCTTTCTGTATTCAAATTTAGAACATTTATACAAGAACGTACCAAAAATATTTTAGTGTT